GGGGGGGGGGGCGAATCCGTATGGCTGACGTCGTTGATATCGCGAAAGCAAGCTGCAAAACAGCGCGGACCTCGTTCGGTTGTGTGTGTATGTGTGTGTGTGTGTGTGTGTGTGTGAGAAGGACCTACGCCGCGGCCACGAGGCGCCGAAAGCGTAAGGCGTACGTGTTGATATCTACAGCAGGAGCGCTGCGCGTTAGCCTGTGGGCGTGCTGTTTACAACGCGAGCTCGGACACGCAAATTTCTGTTGTGTAGCTGGTTTGACTCCTAGCACATTTTCTTTTTTTTTTCGGGCTCCCATAGCGCCATTTGATTCTCTCCTGGTATCTTATTTACGTAACGGGTTGCGTGTGTTTGTGAGTGAATAGAACGAGGGTGAGTCAGACGCCGTGCCTACGCATGTTCTTTTTGCAAAAATTGAGTCATCCTGACGATCGAATGGGCGGCTGCAATATTAAAATATGTAATTGTCGCTGGCTATTTCATTTATTTATTTGTTTATTATTGAACATGGTGTCGGTTCGCCCCGGCCGTTGCAGAGTGGGTGGCAGGTTCATGGGCGGGCGGCGCGCGTCGTCCCCGCTCGCGCTCGCGGGCCCAGCGCGGCCGCGGCGCCCCCCGGGCGCTCGGGGGCCGCGAAACGGCCGGGGGGAAGGCGCGGGCGCGTCGCGGCGCGCGACTGAGAGAACCAAAACAAAACCCGTGAGTCAGCCGCGGCGCGGCGCTGCGCTGCTGGCCCGCGGGTGGACGGTGGCGCGCCCTGGCGGTCGAGGGGAGCCGCGCGCACGGCGGCCGTCGCCTGCGGGCCGGCCGGCCGGGCGTCGGGTTCGGGGCCCGGGATAAAGTCGCGGGGACGAGTTGGTCCTGGCTGGCCTGGCCGGCCGCCGCCTGCCGCCGCCGCCGCTCCGGAGGGGTCCTCCCGAGTGCACGGCCCCCGCCCGCCGCTGCTCTTCAGACGCACTGTACAGTGTACCGAACTGAACGATTCCTCCACCACCCTGCGGCCGAAACAAACCGCCCCGAACTGAAAAACGACTGGAAAACGAGGCTGCGGCGCGCTCTCGGCAACAAAACGCCACTGAAAGCCAAAACTAAGGCTGAGCCCCTGGCTCTGGCTGCTGCTGAAGCTACCCCGCGGCCCGGCCGCCCGGGCGCCCCGCTACTTCAGCGCTGCTGCTGAAAGTCACCCCCTAGTCCAAGCCCAAGCCCAAGCAAGTCCAGTCCTGCCTGCTTGTTTCAGCTCAGCTCCAGCTTATATGCCTATGCACGGCTGCACTCAGCTGCTGCAGCAGGAGGGCTCGGGGGCTCCGCCAGGCAGGCTCCTCGCTCGCACCAGCGGGCGGAAACTCCCGGGGGTGAGACTGAAACCAGGACCCGCCCGGCGCGCCGCAGGCGCTGCGGTCAGCGGACGAACTGATCGGCCCACCTTCGTAGTCTATTTTGGTCCAAAATGACATTAATTTTGACGCATGGAAAATAATTTGGGTACCAAAATGAAGCTGACATTCCGAGGAATGTTTCTGTTGAGTCACCTTGTTCCAATAACGGACCTGTGTTCAGGAATGATGATGAAATCGAGACGCTTGTTCCCCGCGACGCCTGCACTGGTCTTCTGTTTTCCTTAATGTGGGAAAATCGCGAGTCTATGTCACTGGAGAGTACTTGAAATTACATCTACATACATGCTGTCGTGCATTTTACTCTGGATCGGTGCACAAAACTCACTCGAAGTAATTTAAATTTAATTCACAAATCCTGTGTCGCTCAACACCTTTCGAAGCGTCTCTGGCTGGTGCCGTCCGGAGCGCGCTATGGAAAATTCAGCGCTCGGAACAGCTTTGTTTACTTTTGATATTGGTTGTCGCCTGCTCAGGCCGCGTGTGTGGTTATAGTGGTTGTAGGTTGCGATTCCGTTCAGACTTTGTGAAAACCTTTGATCAGAGACCGGTGAGTCTTTCACCTTTTATATTTTATGTATAACCTGCCTGTTTGGTGAACACTCGGTGTCATTTCTTTTTTTTTTCTGTCACAGTCAAGATGAGTGATGATCTGTTCAGTGACCCTGATGAACCTGCTGGACCCTTCTTGCTGACTCCTTTGGAGTTCAGTGGAGTGAGTGGAGCTTCATCCTCTCCTGGCCAGCGAAGTAGGCCTCTTACTCAGCAGGAGCAAACACCACAGCCATCAAAGTCTGCCACACCCCAAGAAACGACTCCCAAGGTTTGTTAAAACTTAACCTGTCCCCGTTGCTGAAACCTGATTTTGCTTACTTATTCTATTTTGTATTTTCAGCTGTATCAATGCCCCACATGCAAGAAGAAAACAACGTATAAATTATTTCGGAATTTTAAAAAGCATATGCTTGACAAGCACAACATTGCTGTCACTGATGATGCAGATGTTCGCACTGAACCAACTGAACCCTCTGTCTCTGCCCCTGCCCCTGCCCCTGCTCCGCAAGCTTCATCCGGACCAACTCAGACTAAGGTACGCTCATTTGTACCATTGGTTAAATAAATATTGTTCTATCGCTTTGGTTTCTGATCATCACATCTTGCAGACTTTTGTGTGCTGTGAATGCCATGCAGAGCTTCAAACCAAACGTGGCTTTCTTAATCACCGTGCATCTCATCGAATTAAAGGTACAGTTCTGTTCCCTATAGTTGTTTATTTCCTTATGAAACCTTTAATTAATTAAGTGTTTTATTATCTGACTTGCAGAAGCTAACAAGAGAATGCCTAAGGCTTCTGTTTTTCTGGAGGAGGCTCTGATGCCTGCAATGGAAAAAGTAATAGAAGAAATTTTGGCTGAGCCAGCTTACTGTGACCGGAAAGCAATCATACTGCAAGAGTTCAATAATAAAAAGGATACTCCAGAGTGGAAGGCATTTGTGGAAGAGATATCAAACAAGATTTGTAGTTTTGTCTTGGATGATAAGCAAAAAAAACTTCTTCCAATGAACCAATATGAAATTGCCCAAACAAAGCTAAATGCTTATCTAGCTAATACAAATTTAGAATTGAGAGAAAAGTTTTTAGCAATTTGTGTGAATGCAGACAATTTTTTCATCAATAGACTAATTTTTAGAATGGCCACTAAATTACTGTGTCACATCCAAATTTGGGTTATAAAGAAGATGAGTACTACGGGTACTGCACCCCCTGCAGAGCATTCTCATGAAATGAGTGATATGGAAGAAAAAAACTTCTCTGTAGACCTTGGCAGTTTTCTTAGGAGAAGGTTCATAAAATATAGAGGTAAAAAAGATGATTATTGTGCATGTATAAAAGAAACTTTTGTGGATGGTGAACATCCCATCAGTAAGTTTGATTTTCTGAATGAAAAAAATTGGTTCTCTGGAGGAGAAAAGTGTATAGTTCCAAGTATTAGAGCCCTTGAGTTCTTTAAAGCTGTTGAATTCATGATAAGGTCACCTATGGAAATTAATAGTACACAAGATATAATAGAAGTTATCTTTGAAAGAAGTCATCTGTTAGACCATTGGTTTTATTTGACAAATGCTTATATTTCTGAAAAAGATTCTCTCTTATTCATGACGGAACTTGTGCAACATTACTATAAAATGTCATTACAAAATGAAGAGAAAAGAAGAAACAGAGAAGAGGAACAGGCCATCCAAGCTAATGCAACTGCTATTAGAACACATTTAAACCACAACTTTGCAGAGCGGGAAGAAGGCAGTGAAAGTGTGGAGTGAGAACTTTTGAAAGGTGCAAGCAGATGGAATAAATCATAAGGATATTTTTTTTGTTTTGTTTTGTATTTGTCATAAGTTGCAAGTTGTGCATAGATAGATGTAAGTCACTCATTTGCTTAAAAACAAATACATTTTTCAGAAAAAAATAACATTGTTTTCATTCAGAAATATTTTAACATACAGTTAGGATACAAATACTATTAAAAATGTAACTTGAAGATAAAATGTAAACAGAGTTCAATAAGATGGCATATTTAATCTTTGGACTTTCTGAAAACTTTTCTTGAGGGCAAGGGAGTTGAATCCATTTCTAATTCTTGTTTGCGTTTCTCACTTTGAACATTTCCTTTAGAAGAAGACATGGCAACATGACCTTGAGCAACTAAATTAAGTCTAGAATCTAGTACATTCTTCACAAGAGGATTGTTGCTATCTCCTCCCCTTCTTCTTTGCTTAGAAAAATACTGCTCAGCTGGGTCTTGATTAAATACTCGAGCTCCCACAGATGGCGCTCCAGCTGCAAGCATGTATCGAATGGCAGATGTAATGCTTTTTATAGTTATGTGCAACGCACCCAAAGCTTGATGACTAATTATCATCTTGCTACGTTCAGTGTCTGTGTATGTTCCTGGACGATTAGTAACTTCTCTCTTCCACTCTTCAAAGTAATTTAGGACATCATTTTCTAGAAAAGATAATCTACTGTCATTAAGATCAGAGTAAGGCTCTTTGTCTAAATTTTCCACATCTTCGGATTGTTCTGTTCTTGTATTCACACAATCAAAAAATCTATTTATTAATCTTATGAAGAAAACCAACTCTTTTGTGTCAAACTTTTCCATACTACTATGATTTGATAAATTTTCAATGCAGTTTGCAGTGGAATTGCTCAAAGCCTGAGTTGCAAATGAAACGGTCATGACACTAAAACTTGACAATTTGATGTGAGCTTTCTTCATTTTGTGACCTGGATTTTTCAAATTTTTGGTTATTTCATAAACCTCTTCTATCACCTTCCAACTTAGATGCTCTCCATTCTTCCACAAACTTCTCGATTTTCTATGGCTGAAAGAGTTAGCCAAAGCATTTCTGATTGTTTTGATTAAGTGAGGGGGGTCAACAACAAAATAAATAGGGCGATGATCTTCTGATGCCAAATTTGTAGTACAATACGTATAAGGTGATGATTTATCTAGAGAATCATGCATCATAAGAAATTTTCTGTTAACAGAAGCACCGTCAAAGGCTAATGTTAGCACCTTTAATCCAACTTCTTCCAGGTGGTAGACAACATCCCATGTCCGATCATAGAGTTGGTGTGCACTAAGGTCATCAGTAGTGAATACAGCAACAACATCTTTAACATTGCTGGTGATACCTCGTGCTAAGTAAACCAAAACTTTTTTGGCAAGCCTTGGTCTATATGTCTTCATTTGGAGTTCTTGCGTTATCTTGGCTATCTCCTCATCAATTCCACTCAGTTTTGTAAACCCAACAAGTTCACCAGTTGAGCGATGAGTAACTAATCCAGATTTCACATGCATTTCATCGAACATGACACTTATGTATTTATAATGTTCCTCTTCTCCACATTTTGCAGCTTTATTTGCAATCATTAGCAATAGTTCCTTTTGGCACCCTTCCTGTGATTCTACAAAATGACTATAATCAAAAAGCCTTCTTGCAGATGGGAGAGATAATATTTTACTGTTACCAAGAAATTCATAAGAATTGGGACAGAGAGAATGTAGATGCAGAGCAATGCGGATAAGCATTGGATCCCAACGCAAACCTCTTTTATCATCAACGTCCATAGCCTTCATCTGGGAGAGCCAAAATGTTTTCTGTACCTCAGTCATTTTATCCTGGTTTGCTCTCAGTAAGGCTATCAGTTCATCACTAAGGGCTTCATCTAGTTTAATTTTTAGTGAATCCACTCTCTTCTGAAGCCTATCAGCACGCTGCTTTTCATGTCTGGCCATTTTCTTGTATTTATCTTTTTTGAATTTTAAACCAGCTTTTGAAAGATCTTTATCTCGCGTAGAGCTAGGATCTTCTTTTTCCCTTTCAGTTCTCTTCTGTTCTCTTTCAAATTTTCTGAGAAGCTGCCGGCAGTCCAAACATTGTTCGATTTTCTTCCCATCTATTATAATTGAACACAAAGCACTCCTAAAACTTGGAGAGTGAAATGATGGACTGTAGTCCACAAATCCTAAATTGAAGTCCCAAAAGTCTTGATGTGAATTGATGCCAGTACATATAGAAGCAGTTCCCACACTTGTTACAAATCTACAAAGAAAGTCAGATACATCACCAACATTTTCAAAATCAACAACTCCTCTGTCTTGAAAAATTTTATGCTTTGAATGCACTGGAGCACCATGTATGAAAACACTTATTGTCTTTTCCTCATAACTGAAAACAATACTTCTTTGAACTGAAGGATTGCTGCTTTGGTTTATGGTGAAGAGCCTTAATTTATCTCCGGAAGTATCAGCCATCCACTCTGATGGAAGCAAAAACTTCAGATTATTTAATAATGTTGACAGAAAAACCTGAAAAAATAAATAAAAACAATT